AAACTGTACAGCTTCGGGAACAAATTCATAAAAATCAGTATTGTTACTATGACTATCAGCAACCGAGTTGAAAGTTGCACAGTTTAAATAATTTATACATTTGGGCAAAAATTACAAAAGAATTAAAAGAAAAAAGTGATAGGTAATAACTTTTTTTTTATCTCACAATGTCGGGTACAAGAAGTTATATAGAAAAAGTATTCAATATCACCTAGACAAAAACAAAAACAAGTCGAAATAAATATATTAAAATATGATTATTCTTTTACAGATACATATTTATTTGTATTATGAAACTAATTTTTATGTCAACAAACTTATGTTCAGTATATGTAACAATTTGTAAAGATAACTCTTGTATAATCATAATATTAATATTTGCAGGTTTTAAATAAGATATCACATTTCGAAATTCCATTTATTGACCATAATACTTTTTCTTTGGAATGAAAGCACTTACAGGTGAGGAAAACCCGGAAAACCTCACCAACCATCATCGAGACGGTAATGCATGGCGATTTTTTAATCTGCATGTCATATCAACAGAAATTAAATTTCTATTAATACGGCACCTTAGATAAAAGAGACCAGAGATATAACAAACACCGGTGTTTAACTTGCGCAAATGTTGCCAATTTCTAAAGAAAGGTTAATGGAGTGGGGGAACTGGGCAGAGACCCGAACTCTGTGACAGGGACCGGACTTTGTTTATTAGCATAATAATGAACTATTAGAATTATTTAAAATATATGTTTAATGAAATTTTGTATTATGAAATAAAATTAACGTGATTTTTTAATATCAAACAGATGCCACGTCATTTTATGAAAAGAGAAGACCTTTTATAGAATATTTCGTTAGCGTTTATTTACTACGGACTTTTCAGCAAGAGACTACAGTAAAATGTTGAAATACAATATTGTTAATAAAGCAGGAAATGGTATTCATCAACGCGTATTATAAAAAAATCATGTGCGCAGGCGAATACTGCAAATCAAACGTTGTGAGTTGAACATTATATTTTTTCTATTGAAAATAATCGATTATTTTCAAACATTCTATTTTTTTGTCGTATTTCCTTTAAAATCGACTACTTGATTATCTTTGAACAAAAATAATCGATTAATTAAAAAGCCAATTAACCGATAAATCAGTGTTTTCAAAAAATAATAAAAGAATTATCGTTTATTTTAAATAATCGATTATTTTCAAATAATCCATTTTGTTTTTTGTCAATTGAAACGGATTATTCGATAATCTTTGAAAAATCGAAAATAATCGATTAATCAAAAATAATCGATTAATTAAAAAGTCGATTAACTGTTAATCGATTTTTAGAAGCGAATTGTCGATTACTTTAAATAATCGATTATTTTCGATCAATCGATTATTTTCAATAATTTATGTTTATTGTATTTCCTTTAAAATCGATAATTCGATTATCTTTGATATACCGAAAATTATTCCAAAATAATCGCTTAATTGAGAATAATCAATTAATTAAGAAGCCGATTCTACGATAAATCCATTTTAAAAAAAATACCCGAATTATCGATTAATTTCTAATAATCCATTTCATATTTCCTTTAAAATTGATTATTCTATTATCTTTGAAAATCGAAAATAATCGATTATAAAAAGCTGATTAATCGATATATCGATAATTCTAAAAGTAACTGAAATATCGGTTATATAAATAATCGATTATATTCGATCAATCGATTATTTTCATCTAATACCTTTGTAAAATCGAAAATAATCGATTAAAAAAACGATTAAACGATAAATCAAATTTTTCAAAAAAATCGATTATTTTCAATTAATCGATTACTTTAAATAAATCTACTTTCTTTTTGTATTTTCGTTAAAATCAATTATTACATTATCTTAAAAAACAAAAATAATATATTAAAAATAACGGATAAATCGATTTTCATAAAAAAATATCAGAATAATCGATAAATCGATTATTTTTGTAACCCCTATCGGTCGCTTGCTTTTATCCGAGCATTTAGTTCCAAAATTTAAAGATTCGAATTTTTTGATCTCGTTATCTTTCAAACCGCATTCGATTGTATAATAAATAATAAATATTGCTAGAATTTGGATTTAGTAAATGAAAATTTTGTTCGAGTTGTTTAGGGGTTTATAATGTAACATTTTATTAATAATGTGACTAACTCCCGTAACTTTAGTATTTTTTGCTTATACTAGATCATATTGTGCGTTTTACTTTGTTTTAAGACTTAAGATTCAAATGTCACTTTCGATTTGACCGCAAATAAGATGAACCTTGAAATTTTAAGTAGGCCATCCTGTATTTCATCTAATATTCTTATAAAAATACCTTATAAAAATAAAATTAAGCTAGCAACTATGCTTCTTTACTTCTTATTTATCTACCAAAAAGGTCTAAAAACCACCTTTAGTAAATATTCTTATAAAACTACTTTTTAAAAACAAAATTTCGTTAGCAACAATGCCATACTTCTTATTTAAATTAAATGTTCAAAATTTTATCCTGTTGTATATTTACCTATCTAAGTAATATGAAATCTGTTTTCTGAAATACCTATGTATTTGATGCTTAATATTTATTGAAACCCCTTAATGCGGACCTGAAGTATTCTGCCCAAAGGGTCATGGCGCTTTATGTCAAAACGTTAATAAATATTTACCGCTGAAAACGAATATATTTTTTCTCTTTCATAACATTGGTACTTGTATTATAAGTATATAGAAGTTTTCAAGATACATTGTGGCATTTTGAACTTAAAATTAAATAACTAGAACCCTTTAAATTGCTAAAACACCAACAAATAAATCAAAAAACAGCTGTCAATGGTGATTGAACTCAGGCAGAAGTGAGTGTTGAATGGCGTCGTGCGAACAATGATTTTTAATTGGTGGATTACTTGGGGTTAAAATAGACAACATGCGCAGTGTGCCATGTTACATATTCGGTCTCTTTAATCTAAGTACGGCACACATCAAATCCTATACCGAACCATGCAATTTAATTAAAAATCTACATGGTCTGGTCTAGGATTCGAAGCCCGTCCATATTTTTTTCTTTCAGAATAAGTCAAAAATGAACTTTAAAAGTGAAACTTTTGCATGCTCTGCTCTAAAGCCAAGTAAATAATCCTCTAAAGCAGGGGGCCAGATTTGAAAAACCGTAACTGGACGAGGGCTGCCAAGAGAGGCCTGAGCCTACAATAGTCGGTTCAGATTTCTAAAAAAAAGGTAGAGACCTTACATTTATAAACAAACTCCTGCTGGTCGAGCTTCTAAAAAAAAAGGTCGTCAGCTTATAATGTATAACCATCCTGCTGATCAAGTCAGCCTAAATGCAAGTTTGTTACTGAAAATGAAAAAATGTATAATTTGACATAAGCGGACCAAACTGATCAACAGCCGGCGGGCCGCCAAAACGACACTGGCATCACTGCTCTAAAGCAAGCTGGTTTTGGCTAACAAACTGTTTATTATTATAGTAAATGCTCTTGATTGAAATGAATATTAAGTTTAAAGTTCGTTATTTGAAATATTGATTGAAAAACTGGATTCAAAAATGTACTACGCCTAAGTCCTTTTAAATGAACTGTTATACGTATGAAGACTAGAGAGAAGGAGAATCGGCAATGTTCAAATTTCAAATTTCCGTCCTTCTTTTTATTAAGTTCGCGAAATTAACTGTAGATGGCAGGTCGAGCATCAGCGCTGTCAATTTTCTATGTAAGTCAATGTAAAATGAAGTGTTTTTTTCTTTAAACTGGTGAAAAGAATCAAAATAATGTGAAAAAAGTACCTGATTACAAGTAACATGCGAGTGACAAGAAACATCAAAGCAAGATTTACTTCATTTCCAAATAAAATGAATGATAACAATTTAAGCAAGTTTGCAAACAATTAAAAATCAGTTAATCACTTTTTAGTATCAATATACTACAATACCATTTGTTTTAGCTATATCAAATGTTATTCGTTTTTTAACTAAAAATAAACGGAGGTTTAAAAAATAAATATTTCTTCCAGTGTCGTAAAAGATAGGGAGGCAAAAATGGCCACCAACCCAGTCAACGCTCCTCTGGATAAATAAAAAATAATGTTTTTGTCTAAATGTTATTTTCTTAGAGCAAATTGTCCACTGAACTTGTTGAATAAATATGTTGTCAATTTATGGCAAATTTTTCTTCTTGATTAACGCAACGTATATAACTTTTTCTTATTGATTTTTCTAAATCTATTTTTCTTCTAGTACATTTATTTATGAAGACGATACGATAGATCAAAACAAAACCAATATTTATTGTTATTTAATACAACGTGTTAAATAATCTGAAATTTAATTTTAAAACAATTTCAAAGGTTTGTTGTTAAAATATTTCTTGTCGATCTTAAATTTATCATATAAATAATCCTATTATTTGGACATAACACTAGAAATAACATGACAAAATTATAAAATATTCTGTGTATAACATTTTGTGACCGGAATAATTTTTTTCTATCAAGATTGGTCTACTTCTTTGAATTTAAAGCAACGTATTGTATACCTATTGTAAATTACGTGTCAACCGTTTTGCGCAACAAAAGGTACATAATAACTAGAACAGTTTCGCATTGTATCAATCGTGTGTAGGTGTATATTCAGATAAAAATGACCTCTCTTTGTTTAAAAAACTTTTTATAAAAATTTATAAATAAATACCAGATTACATATAATCTTTTCACTATTATTTTATAATTACCGTGAAACTTTTGGAATATTGATAAATAAAAGTTGTATTAATTGGCATTGTTTATTTTGACATATTTTTGAAACGTGTCTGTTTATTCGCGAAAATGTTGATTTAGTTTCTTTATCGATAATATTTAAAAACAACGTTAGCAATGTTAACTAAATGCGAAAAATTTGATGTGGCAGTATTTTGGTATGCAAATGGTGTAATACTGAAAATGGATCAAATATGAAAAATCGAATATTTGTTACTTACTTTCGTATATAATTGTATGGCACTCATTCCAATATCACGATATCACTTTAAATCGCGCAACAACGAACGATTAACTGATTATTTAGTCCTATTACTGTTCCAACTAGATACCTGAAAAACTGGAATTATTACTCTTATCTTATCAGCGCTGTTTTCATTGAAACATACACTTTGCGAGCGAAATTTGATGGCAGGAGTATAGTTACACTTTTACAGCGCACCACGCTTGTGATGGATTATTGATCAAGAACTAGCTCCTATACAACGTTGCCGGTCGTGCCTTCAGTAAAAGTCACCTACTTGAGGAAGGCAAAGATTTGTTTAGGTCACCGGGTCATGGCCACGGTTTGAGCGTATGTAAATTCTTCCTCTTTTGTGGTGAATATTGAAGATATGGGTTTTTAATACAGACATGTTGGATATTAATGATTCTACTACAATTCGTTTTAACAAGATACTTGAAACATTTGATCTAATACAAATAAAGAACCAACAAGGGGTAACTCTTTGTTACTAATATTAATATCAATTTATGTACAGAATTTGTTATTTATAATCTAGTTGCGGATCATTCAGCAATAAACTGCAAATTTAAACATGTTCACAATGAACCTCAAAACGACTTTAGAGTAGAATATATAGGTCACTCACAAGGCCGTAGCTAGAAAATAATTTCGGGTGAGTTTGATTTGGTGGAACAGTAGAAAAACATAAAATAAAAGAAATAAAATGGTGTTACTTATCTTATATATATTTATTAGAAAACCATTACAGAAATAATAATACTTTGTTACAAAATTAAGTTTAGTCTTAGTACCTCCTCGGTGTCGATGTCAATTCTGCGGTGGATTGACATTAACGCCAAACCGTTTAGTCTTTCCTGTCCTGTGGAGTTTCTCAACTAAGTTTTGAGGCGTTTCATAGAAGAAAAAGTCCTCTCAGGAGTACATGTAGAAACAGGCAGTGTCGCCAAGATCTTTAAAAGTTTGTAAATGTTTGGAAAGGTTCAACAGCACATGTTGGTCGATCTAGTTCAGATTCTTCCACCCATTTTATCCGCCACATGTCTAATTTCGCTTTTACAAAGTCTCATTCCAAATATTTTTTATAAAGCTCAAAGTAGTTTTCTTGATAATTTTGATTAATGTGTTCTTTGCAACACACACAGACCGAATTAAAATGATGAAAGATGATGATAATGTGGCTTTATGATTTTGGAATCTCGACTGAAGCTGATCAATGAAATCATCTAAAAGTGGAATCATTATAGTAATTCTAAAATAAGTTTCAGGATCTGTTGTGTTGTAGTTTGCCACATGCTCTTGGCGTGACGTTATTCGCGGAATTTTCATTTCCTCGTTTAAAGTACTGAGCAAATTCTGTGCATTCTTGAAAAGTTCAGCAAATTTTGAATAAATATTTTGGCGACCATCTTCAATAGTCTTTATAATTAAATCGACATGTTGTGAAGCTGCTGCCAAATGAGGTCGATTGAAGTATTTTGCATAGTGTCAGTTTGTACGGGAACAACATTCCTAAGCAACGTAAGCTTATAACAAAATCACTTGAAATGACTGATCTTAGAAAAGAATTAGCCTTTGACGATATTTCAGAATCCGTCAGTGCTTAAGTCGTCTAGTGTATCAATAATATCTTTATAAATTTCATTAAATCTTAACAACCCATCATGATTTTCTACCCAGCAGGTCTCGCACATTGCCGTAAGGTTTTTCGATTGTGTTTCAAGAAAGTTTTTTTCGATATTATCTAAACACTTGGTTCGTTTTGCCGAGGACTTGATAAAATTTCCAACCGATTTTATAATTTCAATAGTATTTCGAATAGGCTGAACCTGGCAAGAATGACCCAGAGCTAAATTCAATGAATGTAAGCTGCAATGAACGTATAAGGCTTCTGGATATGACTCACGAATTACTACCTTCACACCTTTAAATCTTCCTTTCATCGAAGAAGCTTTATGATATCCTTGTCCGACTAAATATTCGCAATCTACTCCCAAAGATTTTAATTCAGATAAAATTGCATTAGCTAAATATCTTCCTTTTGTTTTCTTAACTGTTATAAAAGTTAAAAAATCTTCACGCAAGAAGTTTGTTAATTGTATTAACATTAGATTGCCAGTGTACATTTTCAAAACTCTTGCATATCTCCTTACTTTCTGCTTCTATATACGTTTTTGTTACTTTTATGATTCCTGTGTATGTCTAACGTACAAAATCAATGTACCTGGATCAGTGGTACTTTTGCTTCTAAGAAATTTCCATTTATCCGACATTGTTACACAGTTTACTGTATCAAATAAAAAAATTCCAATATTACAGGTAATTTTCTGTTCCAGATAAACTATTTAGCAGAGGGGGCCATTTCTTTAGTGAGGCTGAGGGCTACCTCTACTTTTAGGTGTGTAGATGAGCCAGAGGTAGTAAATCTGAAATAAATAAAAACAATTATAATATAAATATTCCAAAAATTAAACAATATTACTTACATGTTTATTTATATTATTTCGTTTGATTTTCTTTTTGCAAATCGAAGTACAAAATTTACTCATGAAATATTGAATTTGTTGTTCTTTTATTTTAATTTAGTTGTTACAGTTCAAAGTAATTTGTAAAGACATTCATTATTTTTCTATAAATTAATTTGCAAGTATCATCAAACTAACTATATAACTTCTTTAAGCAAATCTTGCACAGTAGCAGCATCTCTTGCTTCCATTACTTGGTTTGCAAACGTAAAATATCGGATCACCCTCATAATTAGCCAAAATGTGTTTGATTACTTTATCTACTACATCAGCACGTAACAATGTTACTGTACATCCTCCAAATCCTCCACCTGTCATCCTACTTCCCAAGACTCCTTCGATTTGCATCGCTAACTCCACCAATCGATCTAGTTCCGGACAAGAAACTTCAAAATCTTCTTTCAAAGACTTGTGGCTCTCGAGCATTAATCTGCCGAAAGGTATGTACTTTGATCTTTGCAACAGTCGGGCAGCGTCTTCCGTTCTCTTTATTTCTGTTATAACGTGTCGCGCTCTTTTTAGTAGACTTGTACTTGCCTTTAATGTAAATCTTTTGTTCATTAGATTTTTAAAATCTAGTAGATCCGCTTCTCTTAAGCTTTTTTTACCCAATATTTCGGCTGCTCTGTGACATTCGTTTCGCCTGTCTTCGTATTCACTGCCTATCTCAACAAAAAAAAATAATCAGTAGGGATATACATTATAATTTCTACAGGTAAAGATTATTTAACAACGGTAAGACGAATAAAATGTGAGACAAGAAACTATACTCCAAACACTCTATTTAAAATGTTCAAATTTTAAAAAGGAAAAAACATAAGTAAGAATGCGAGGATTAAAATAGCTATATATCACCCAACACAACAATATTCGATATCTCTTAGAGATAATCCCATCCTTGATTAAATAATAACAAAGGAATGGCTCAAAAACTGGAGTTAGACTTACTTGGCATGATCTCAGCGGTTGACTGCCAACTGAGCGCCTCCGAGTGGTGGATAGGAGAACGGCCACGTTTTCCCTGGTTAGTGGTAGACATAAGTAGAGTGCAAGAGCCTAAAAACCCTCAAAATCTTTTGCGAAGGCTACCACCGCGAACCAACTCCCCCAATCTAAGGTGCAAGGTAAAGTGCCGACGGATGAATTGTCACAGGGGCAGAAGCAGCAGCAAACGCTTCCTTGAAGGAACCTGGCGACATCTTCTTGTATCTAGCCTTGCCAGCGAATGCGGGGGCTCAGCGTTGGTCGACGTTTTCTTCCCTAGCTACTCGTGGGAACTATAGGGACACACAAACACGAAAACAAGAACCCAAAGAGGCTGGACGTCAACGCTCACCTCCATCAAAGGAGACTGGATAACAAAGTCCAACTCCGGCACAGGAGGCAGGACAGCGACGATAGTCTAAAAAAAGAAAGATGAACGTCAATGCTCTCCTCCTGCAATGGAGCCTGAACAACAAAGTTCAGCTCCTGCATAGGAGGCTGGACAGCGGCGCCTACCTCCAAAAAAGGAGGATGGACAGTATTTCACCTCCAACTAACAGGCCCCGGAGAGGTAAGAGAATCTCTGGGTCTGAAGCAAAGAGGAGGAAGAGGGATAAGCTGCAGGCAGGAAGAGCTACGGCAACCGCTACCCTTAGCAAACTCCCTCACTCCAAACTAAACAAAAGCGACTTAATCAGGTTCTTAGGCAGGACCACAAAGTGCTGTCTGGGATAAGCTACAAGAATGCAACCACGAGCCAGCCACCTGAAAGTAGCTATAATAAACAAGGATAACCATTACGATAAGAGCTAAACAAAACAATTTTGTCCGCCTCCTACATCAAAACTAAGCCACCCACATTCAGGTCTTGGACGCACTTTGGTGAAATCATCAAAGTAACGTGCGACGATGACCTAACGTTGGAATGGCTAAAAACCAAGGTACCAACCTTATAAAGAGGCGAAGGAGCAAAACTCGCAATTGTAAGGATGGACGAGCTCCGTAAGCTCATCAAAGCCGTTCTCTGGATCCCAGGGAAAGCGCAAGTTGACCTTACGAGAAAGAGGTTGTGCTCAGGCGACTTGGGGGGTCAAAACCAAAACTAGCATGTGGCGAAATACTGCATCTTCCACCATGAAATCAAAAAAGACCCTACGAGCCGTCTCTTTGTCTTCGGCATTGGAGACGGAGACATAGGAATCCTAAAGGCCAAAATAGGATGAGTTATGCGTTCACCTCATTGACTGTAAAGCCAAAGTCGAAAAAGAGGCTGAAGCGAGGCCCAGTGAAGACTACTTAGTAAAGGACCTTCTTCTCTCCCAATTTCAGCCCACAGTGGAGAACGTCGAGCAAGAAAAAATAGCAACCGATGACCTCCGGCAAGAAAACTCCGAGAAGCCACAATTATAATTTATAATTATGTGGAACAATGGATTTCACTAAATACTAAACCTCGTCAAGAGCTACTAAACAAACGAAAAATAAATTCGGTTTACAAACATAAGAGAAAATGGTACTGTTGCGGGGATCCCCTAATTTGATTTCAGGATTCGTTGTTTCAATTATTAATTTTATAGCCAAAATGTAATCAATCAGATCGGTTTCTTTGCCGACTTTTTTTATTTTCGTAGTCAAGATAAACAAGTAATACCGCATGATAAAAATTGACAAAAAGTGAAGAACAAATATTAACTGTAACTAATTAAGAGTTAGTAAGTACACCACAGGTACTTATTTTTTTTTGTGTTTGCCTATTTATATATAGATTTAAGAAGTTGGCTACATTTAACCCATCTTTTACCATTGGTTCGTTAAAGCAACAATTTAGAATTAATTTTTTTACGTCAATAATAATCAAATATTTTAAAGTATCTATGAATTTAGCTGATTTCTGAAGTTATGTATAACTGGTGCGTTAATGCACCACTTACTAATTATGTAGTTTTGGTACACTGTAATAAAAGAACTATTCCCCCTACTATCAGTGTTATTGTCTTTGACCTTAAAGGATCTGAGGGAATCTGAATTTCAGGTTTTTGTTATTCTTGTTATACCCCCTCCTTAGATTTAATTAGGACTGTGGGCCATGTGGCCTCTCCCACCTCGATCTTTTCAAATCTATTATGGATATCCTTGAATCGTTGTTTAGAGTACCTTGTCTAATTCGGTCTTTTGTAGTAGACTCCATAAACTGGGAAGTAGTTCTCCGGTATGACTAGTTGCCCTTAGTTTTTCTTCTCCAAGTGTAAGAAATCTCAGTCTTACTAGACCTTCGCAGTAGCACAATACTCGTGCTGCCGTTTCCTCCTATTTACCCCCTCCTTATGTTTGCCAATGTATGTACCAATAGTTGTTCACACGTTGAAACTGTTCAGTTTGCATCGGTGCAGGCCAATGTGTGGACATAAAATGGATTTTGAGGTGCTAATTGAACTAAAAGCTTGATCAACATGTGGACGCGACAGCCATTATTTCACCAACACCCCACCAGAACACTTTGATCTATGTCTAAAGACCAATTATGCGCGGATCTAGCACCAAAGTATGGGCCAACACCCCAATCCTTACCAAGCTGACCATAAAGCCCCTGCTACATTATTGGCCACAACTATTGCCACATACTCGTATATTGGCCAACGTAGAAAGGAGCCTTTAGAAACACCGTTGAGTTGTGATAGTTCTGTTTGCTAGTTGATTAGAATTGTTCGTATTCTTGCTATATTCACCTAATGAGATTCCCACAGATAATCTGGATTAATTTATTTTCAAGCAAGAAAAAAAAACAGACGTTGCAGAGTATATTATTATCATACAATATAAGTGCAAAGAGTTGGAATATTGGATTCTCCCTTTTGTCCATATTGCAATATAAACGCTGTAGCAGATATCAATCATTTATTTTTAGATTGTAATAAAAATGCTCAACATACCACCGTATTGTATCAAGATTTAAATAAACTTTCACTCCCACTTCCACTCAATATTTCTTCACTTTTAGTTCAATCAGATAAGATAATTTTTGACGCTATTATTAAATTTACTCAAAATACTAAAATAGATATTTAACATAATATATACAAAAATTATTAAGTTAAAACTTTCTGTGGTAAATAGACTTGCATGTCTGATGCCATCCCATTACAAAAAAAAAAAAAGTGCAAAGAGTGCAAAATTAATTAGCATGCCAATTGTTTTTCACGATACCATTGTTAACGGATTTTTTTCTTACACTTGGTAAAAGATGGGTCAAACAGTTGAATATCCTTTACGATTTATGATCATATTTTACGGGAAAGGTTAACCTTGTAATTCATGTTTAACGTTAGAATTCGTAATCAGCACTACATAATCTGGATCGTCAATAGGAATAGGCTTCGCCGTCAGTGAACGACAGTCAATCATTAAAGCGCATCCGGCTTCTCCCATGAATGAAATATACTGATCCATAATCCCGCATTTCATTCCAGCAAAGTGCTCCGCTTTTTGGCATGCCAAGGCTTTTTCTAATGTAGTTAATTCAGAATGTCCATCTAAAAAAGAAGAAAACGGGTTGTTAAAGATTTTATACCAAACTCATAATTTTTGTCAAATGTTATTCAACTTTTTTTAAATCGTCTTTGCTATGAGATGATAAATCTTGACCCAATAATGACGCATAACTAGTTAAACTGGATTCTGATTTTAAAAAATTTGAAAATTTCAAGTTTATATCACAGACCATGTTTATATCAAATAGGTATCCATACAAATAACGTAATATTGTTAGTATTTTTATGAAGTAGCGAAAATTCGTTATTTTATTATAAAAATTATGTATATGTAATAATTATACATTGTGTTAAAACTGGTTTTGAAGAAACAGTAAAAATATCTAAAAAGCTTTTTTAAAATGTTTCAATTTTATATTATGGATTCGCAGCGAGTGCTTGAACGAGTTAACTTAAAGACCTCTGTGATTATTTAACCTTAGTTTTTGCGTTTTGACGAACGAAGACATCGCTGACTTTTACAAGGCTGATTAGATCCAACTGTTTGCCTGCTTCACACCGTCTGAGGTGCAGGCAACCAAATATACGCCATGAGTGCGATGTTGGTTCACTACAATTTCCTTCTGACCACAGCAAATAATAATCGAATGCTATGCTGGAACAACCTGTAACCTTTAATATGGGCACATTCGAGTTTTTCATGGAACAACCTTGTATGTAGTCGAAATAATCAACTGAAAAAGTGGTATGAGTATACGGGGGCTTCTATTCGTATTTCAGAGTAGTAATAAAATTATTTGACTTACATACTCCGGTGTAACAATGTTGTATGTGCCTGTCTTATTAGTTATGTGTGAATATATTTCGTTAAAATATGTACCGAAATTTTATGATAATAATTACAACTTTTAGTTACCTACTCAACCAAATGATGTTTTAAATTTAAGTTATTAAACACATTTTTTACTGTCACTTGTACTTTATTTTTAAACATAAAACAGCGTTCTAACCGCCCTATTTCCACAAAACAACGTTGTAACCGACGTAAATATATGTTGTTTTATTAAAATATAGCAACTAAGTTCATAAAACTCTATCCTTTATACATCTAAGGCAATATAACCTAAAGTAACATTATGCAATCCAAAGTCAATCATATTAGGTTTATGAACACTTTACATGTCCTAAGCAATTAATAATTAAACGTTTATTTTTATTTTCCCAAAAAACAGTATTTAGCGCTTACAACGTAGTTCCAGCATAGCATTCAATCAATGATACAACAAACTCAGTTGATTTTGACTACAAGCGCAGCAATACTCAATGCAGTTTTCTTACAGTTTCTAATTCAAACATGTCACAAAACTCACAAAATATCGTCGAACGACAAACATTTTCAAATGTATGAGTAGCCAAACCGACACCCAAACCAACATTTCCAAAGAAAAATCAAGCAATTGGGATATATATTGCAAACGGATTCGCCTCTAGAATATTTTGCTGCATGCCATTTTAACGACCAAACATATTTGAGATATTGTCGTATGACTTTCGAAAAATCCAAACCACATTGTCCTACAAGGTAATAAAGTTAATTTAAAACAGCCTTACCTTTCATGTGCTAGCAAATATATTTTTTTGGTGCTGTCTCTGGTGCCCCCCAAGACGTGATGCCCTAAAAGCAATTGCTTAATTTGCTCATGGGCTAATCCGGTACTGGCTACATGATTATGTAAAAGCGATAGGAGACGTTGTTGGTTTAAAACATATTTTTGCATCAAGAATATCCAACAACAGGATTTGCATTTATCTTGATAACTTAGACCATGTCGACCACCTGCTATAAGCTCATCCCACTATACAAGTAGGAAACATAATTTAAACAATCGCAGACTCGTGTCCACTACCAAAAGAATAATTATATCAAATTTATATCTTTGTATCCTACACTACATAGCTGAAAACGTTGTAAAAAACTGAGCTACATCTAGCTTCCCCAACTGTGGTGCCAAATGTTCCTTTTCTGTCTTGAGTTTTAATTATAAGCGATCTACTCTTGGTGAATATCTTTTGAACTCTAGCTACACTTTGCATAAGTTCAGATGATTTCGAAGATGTAATCCACGAGTTCACGTGTATGAAAAGTCGAAGAAAGACGATGTAGACTATGTAGAGTGTAAACCACTGTGATCTATTCGTCTATTTATTCTGACTACAAATATAATATTAAATTAAACTACTATAGTGCGAAACTACTATAGTCTTCCGCAATTCCGCAATTGCCGCTAATGTTCCAAAAACTGTACCAAGGTGCAATTCAAAATACCCTCCTTGGTTTAATAGAAGTATAATTTCGGATTTGAGGAAAAAATCATCTCTATCGTTTGTATAGAAGGACACTAGAGGCTGAAATTTATACTGAGTTTAGTATTCTCAGGTCCAAAATTAAACGCGACATTTCAATAAATTACAGGAATTATTTGACAAATATTGAGAATAGAATATCTTCTAACCCCAATTATTTTTGGCAGGTTATAAATTCAAGGAAAAACTGCAGTAGTATTCCAAATGATATGACTTTTGATAATAATCCTTTAAATAATTCACAAGACATTGTAAATGCATTTGCTACATATTTTCAGTCATCGTACACTAATTCGTCTAAAATTTATATTTCTAAACTAGATAATGTTGTTAATATTAACAGTTGTAACATTCCGCTACTTACAGAAGAAGATGTCATGAAAGGTCTTAAAAGATTGAAACCTAAAAATACTAGAGGCCCAGATGATATTCCGGCATTTTTAATAAGAGATTGTACAAATATTTTAACCAAACCTTTAACCATGGTCTTTAATATGTCCTTACGAGAAAGCAATTTTCCAAGTAATTGGAAGATATCTAAAATATGTCCAATCTTTAAGAAAGGATCCAAATCTATCATAGAAAACTACAGGCCTATATCCATCCTTAGTAATTTTGGAAAAGTTTTCGAAAATGTCATTTATGAAATACTTTTCGCTCGTGTAAAATCGATTATATCTACGGCACAGAACGGCTTTTTCCAGGCAGATCCACAGAGACCAATCTGATATGCTTTACACAAAATGTTGCGCAAAACCTTGATAGGGGTGGCCAGGTTGAAGCTATATATACTGACTTTTCCAAGGCCTTTGATCGCCTAGATCATAGTATACTTTTGAACAAGCTTTCCATTGTTGAACTCACTACGTCTTTTCTGCGTTTCTTTGAATCATATTTAAGTAATCGTAAATTGAAACTTGAATATCATGGTTTTCAGTCAATTTGTATAAAAGCTTCTTCCGGTGTCCCTCAAGGTTCAGTTCTAGGACCACTTTTATTTTCCATTTTTGTAAATGACATTACTGAAAACCTATCATGTAATACTCTACTCTATGCCGATGATTTAAAATTGTTTAAATCAATCTCTAGTATTGGTGACTGTTTGATTATGCAGGAGAACCTAAATAAATTGAACCTTTGGTGTAATTCTAACAACTTACCACTAAACATATCTAAGTGCAATTCTATCAGCTTCACTCGCAAACTAAATCCGATTGAGTATAATTTCACTGTCAACAATATTACCATCAATAAATGTCTTTCTTTTAGAGATCTTGGTGTTCTTTTCGACACTAAGTTAAACTTTATTGAACATGTCAATACTATTCAAACAGAAGCATACAGAAATTTGGGTTTTGTCATTCGAAATAGATGCCAGTTCTCTGAGCCTAACACTTTAAAAACTATTTTTAACGCTTTTGTACGTAGTAAGCTAGAATATGCGTCCATTGTTTGGAGTCCTGGATATGAAGTATATAGCCAAGCATTAGAAAAAATTCAGCGAAAATTTGTCAAATATTTGTGGTGCAAGCTAGATGGCGTCTACCCTACTCGCAATATTCCGCAAACCATCTTGCTGAATAGATTTGATATCCTTGAATTACGTACTCGCAGGAAATGTTATTCTATCTGCATTCTTTACAAATTATTAAATTTTAAAATTGACTGTCCCGAACTACTTCGTCAACTAATGTTTAATGTTCCTAGTATCAGAACTCTCTCCCCTTTTTATTTCTATTTTCAGACACCCAGGACAAATATTTTAAAATTTTCTCCAATGTATTTTATGTATCAAAATTTTTGTGAACTTCAAAATGATGTTGATTTATTTTCTATTTCAATTAAAGAAATAAAACGCTTAATTGTGGACTGAGTTAATTATCACAAGACAACGTAATTTTTTCTCCTAACGGAGTTTTTTTTGCGTTTTCTTATGATGGTTAAAAACGTTTATTAAACTATTTTTTGTTTACATATATTTATGCTATTATTAGTATTTAATATTTTGTTATTATTTTTATGATGTAAATTATACTGTAACTGTAATTATTTTTGTGCCCATCCTGTAATTGGTTTTATACTGTTGGATGGTGTAACCCAAATAAATAAATAAATAAATAAATAAATAAATAAATAGTCTTATGAAGCGCTCCGTTGCCAGCCGTCGTTATGCTGGGATCAGTCAAAAACAGGTCCGATCTCAGTAAAATTTCAAAATTATGAATTCATAAGTTAAAAAATGATAAACAAATTTTACGCAATAGATAAGTCATTGTTAGTAATCGTTGAGGTCTGAAATCCACGACGTCAACCATTGATGATTTTGCAAGCATGTCACTTCAAAGTTATCGTAGCAAATATGTCGTTCACAAACTTGCGGCCATTGTCGCTTTACAAAAATATTTCAAAAGCTATTGCGATAATTCCTGTGCGCATTTAGACATCAATTGACGCAAATGTATAAGCTTGGTCAAGTGGTCTTGATAATTTTATAACCACTTGTATTCGCCATCGGGAATAGACTGGAGATCAATAAGATCAACTTGCCCTTTACTATTACATCCTTTCGAAAGAATCAGTTTTACTGCTATGTATTCCTTTTCGTAGTTACTGTTTTTTTTTTCAGCACACCTTGCACAAAGCTTAACAAGTATACCCACTGCTGAACGTGGTGAGGTATTAGTCAAAGGAGTAGTTGTTGTCAAAAGAAAACCGGCCGCCTATTTATTGTAACGCATGACTTTGAGAGTATTTTGATTGTATTTTATATCTTGGTCACATCGACTACGGTAGCGTAGGTGTCTACGGCGCGGCATTCATTTGCGAGCCAGTTTTGTGGTACAAGAGACACGGGTTTCGAATCCAACGGAAGACCATGTAATTTATTTGCATGGTTCTCTATAGGATTTGATGGATGCCGTATTAGCAGAAATTTAATTTCTGTTGATATGATGACATCCAGATTAAAAAAATCGCCATGCATTACCGTCTTCGATTATGGTGGGTGAGGTTTTCTGGGTTTTCCTCACTTGTAAGTCAAATGGCACCATCAATCATCTTTAAGCGCCATGGCAAATAATAATAGCCGTCCCTTCCCCTATACAAGTCGCTCTGTTGGCTTCAGGGGTTAAAGGGGGTGAATTATGAAAAGTATTATTATTATATTATTAATATTATTATTATTATTATTTGAGTTTGGAATTACTTCCTTTTTTTATTCAAAGTGTAATCACACTATCGTTCAACTTAACTTTTTCTCTGAATGGACGTTGACGTTTCTATTTTTAAGGTTTTATACGTAAGTAACTATTAAAAAATGTTATGTGAATAAGTATGTAGGAGTAGTATAATTTGTATTATTAGCACTTCTATTTACCATAATGCAAAATGTACTAAAACGGTGCTTACCATTAAGTTCATCAAAGAACATGTAAGCAGATACTTCCAGAGCTGCACTGCTGGATAATCCTCCTCCCATTGGAACACTGCTTACAATGACAGCTTTAAATGCATGTAATCTTCCATAGTAGTTTTTCATAACACCTTTTATATAATGACCCCATTTTGGTCCTGATCTGTCAATAAACCGAATGTTAAATTTTAAGTATTTCTCTTGTATTTCTGGTAAATTGGTGTATATTTCTGCATACATTCCATCGTATTTTCTACCTGTTGTTTATTAAATAATTAATATTAGAAAAATGACATTTAATGGCTTACTAAAAGATAATCAACATTTTTAAAAGAGCGACTTTTACTCGAAGGGAGTTATAATCTTTATAATCTAGAATTTCAAAATATTTAATAAATATGCACAAAAATTGAGGTACTAAATTTTATTTCATTTGTCTGTCGCAAACTGTATACTACGAGCTATAGCGATTTTTGCCTTATATGTTCATGTTACTATTATGCCTTGTTCAACTCATTGTAAGGTATAGTGTCCGTAATAAAAATTACGTAACGGTATAAAAAAAACTCTATTATACAAACCAAAATATCATTTAGAAAAATTAAAGTTTATGCGACATGTCAAATCATAGTTTTGTAAATTACTAGGTATGTCGCATTTTCAGAAAGCCTTGAACTATATAAACATTTCTTACTAGATAATAATTTATATAATATGTTTATTTGTAAGTACAAGTGTATTGATTTTTGATAACATTGCGATTGCATCAATAGATAAATAAATATTAAGATTTTTATCAATTTAATATTTTAATTTGTATCAGCTCTTTTTTAAAAGTAATACTTTGAAAATATTTTTGAAGTAACAGCATAAAATGAAGAATTACATCTTCTTTAATATTCTTTTACTTTCTAGTCCCGTTTCATATAACTCTAGAAAGGTTTCTTATCTCAAATGTTTGTTTCAGCCAGATTTTTCTTTGCTTTACGTTTTTTCGCTTTTCGCTGATTGGATTTAACGATACAATAAATATAATAGAATGGAATAGAATAAATGCCGAACATTTAATCCCAACTGTAGAAGGTGATATAATAAATAAAAAGAAGAGGTGCCCGTAAATTAAATGGACACACGAATTTCGAAAAAAAATTGAAACTAGAAAATAGTATTAAGTGTACATACAGTGTGTCGCATTTAAGATGAAGACACCCCTATATTTTGGCTATCTAAATAAATACAGATTTGAAATTTTGCACATTTTTCAAGATTCTCAACTGAAATATAAATTTTAAAAGCGGCCTACTTCGAATCCACAAACAGTGTCAATTTTCGATATTTTTCTTCGCGTTAGAGATATCAGAAAAAGTTATTTGAAAAATTTCATGACAAAATTCGCATTTTTAGTTTTTTCATTATTTTGGTCAATACACAAAATTATTAAAAGTTGATTTTTTTTGTTCGATAAACTAGTGTGCCATGAAAAGGAATAATTTGACATTTGTGAAATCATGAATGTTAATCAGTTTAGACTTTCAGTTTAGTGTAATTCATTTAATTTAAATTCTTCAGTAAAATAAATAACACTAACACAAACGAATAATTATTTTATTTTATTTTAAGAAAACAATAATTTTTAGTAGGTAACTGATTAAATTTAAGAAAATATTTAAAACAATGATTTTCATAGCAAAAATAACAATTTATCAAATGTTATCTCGCAAGACTAGTCCTCCATTTATTCGAATACATTTTTCAATTCTTTTACGGTGTCTGGATACTCGTCTATGTTCTGGGATGCTGATTTTTTGACAGGCTTGTCTTATTCTGGCACAAACTTCATCTCGGTTTTCGGGCCTTATTTTATAAACTTTATTTTTTATCAGTCCCCAAAAATAAAAATCGAGTGGTGTAATATCGGCGGCCAGGGTCCAAAAGGACTGTTTCTTCTATCCAGCGCATAGGAAATTTTTGGTTTAACCATTGACGAACAATCCTTGAATTGTGAATGGATGCACCATCTAGCTGGAAATACACATCCTGTTGCACATTGAGAGGAATATTTTCTATAGCATTCCATAATTTCCTATCAAAAAAGTTAACTAGACGACGAGAATTTAATGATTCATTAAAGAAAAAAGGACCTATTATTTGGTCTCCCAAAATATCCACACCAGACATTGACTTTCTGGGAATATTGATCTTTACAATTTATAACCCAGATTGGATTATTTCTGGCCCAGTATCTACAATTTTACAACACCATTGGTGGTGAATGTAGCCTGATCTGTAAACAATCTTTTCCAGAAAATGCCTGTCATTTAAAAAATAACCTTGGGCCCAATAACAATAATCTAATCTTTTAATCATATCGCCTTTATTTTGGTTTATAGGGCTTGATTTTGTGACGGATGAGACATCTCGAAGGCTCATGCGTGGATTTGCTCGATTTGCCGCCAGTATATCGTTATCCTCAGGATGCGGGTGTATTCGCCGAGATCGGCCATTCTGATGGATTTTAATAATACTGCCAGTTTCATTGAAAAGAGCATTTATAGCGGCTGCTTTTCCATGTGTAATGGAAGCACGTTACGGATGTCTCCTGTTAAACTCTGCAGCAACTTCTCTGCTACTACGAGCAAAATCAACAATCAGATTATTTCGATTTTTTCGTTTAAAATCAACGGCATATTAATTCGATTTTCACTAAATAGAACTCAATGTAATAAACTGAAAGTCTAATCTGATTGACATTAATGCTTTCACAAGTGTCAAATTATTCCTATCCATGGCACACTAATTTTTGGAATAAAAAAAAAATAATTTTTAATAATTTTGTGTATTGAACAAAATAATAAAAAAACTAAAAATGCGAATTTTGTCATGAAATTTGGTATGTGGGGTTAAAATAATATAATGACATTTTCAAATAACTTTGGCTACGGTCGATATTAGGTCCAGTAATTTTGTCACTTGTTCCATAAAGATTAAGTAAAACCATAAGATTTTTACACTTTTTAATCTTCTATAAGTGTGCACTAACCTAATTAAAGTAACAAATATTATTAAAACACATTTGTAAGTTAAAAAATTAAGAATATGCATTTATTCACTACATTCTCACGTAGCCATATTGTTTTTAATTTTTTCGATTTGACAGTTACACTAAGAGCGCCTGTGCGTGATTTTAGCGATGTTGCCAATTGCTTTTTGTTATTTGTTATAAATAAATACCTAATATATTTATGGTAATACCGTTCTATATTATTTTTTATGAATAATATGACAACTGATATTTTTATTTCTATAAATGTGGAGTTGTCGAACATAGTAAAAGAACGTACATAACAGAATGACAGTGGCTGTTTTTTCAATAGCTCCAAGCCAAATGATAAAACCAGAATATAAATGTGTTTATATGAGACTTTTCATTTCAATTATTCAATTTGAGCTGTGTCCAGGCCGTTAGAGTCTATGCCGGTCGGCGTAGCCAGGTATGGGTTAATGTTTTTTGGTGGAGGCGAAGCCGCCACCCTACGATAAGTCGTTGCTTCGTTTTCTTGTTGCATATTTATGGATCAGTATGCGCAATCAAAATTTTCCATTAACTACTAATTTTATCACATTCTGGCAACGTTGGTATGACTGTGCAAAACTTCAAATCTGTATTTATCATCTTAAATGCGGCAGACTGTATGAAATAACAAAAAAAAAAATGCGTGTGACGCATAAATAACAGAGAAATTTTAGTTAAAACTTGCGAATTTTGGTGACTCAGACCTAAGATTTTTCAATTTTCGTGTAAGGCATATGCATGCTGCCAAACGTTTCAATTTATCTAGATCAATAATTGACAGACTCGATTAGGTACTTTTACGTATCAAATACATATTGAAACAATGCTCATATCACGCAGGAAAACGTAATTATTGGAAAGATATATGTTTCTTAATATTCTAATTTTTTTATACTTACAGTTTAGGAATTAGGAAAAATAGTACTTTTCAAATACACAACCGGAAACCCCACAAAGTATCTTATTTTTGGCGTAACATTTCCAAAATCTTAAAATGCACTACTTTTATTAATTTAGTTCGTTGCTTTTCCTAATGTGTTGTCACATCCAGTGATTCTTTTATCCATTTTGATTAAATTGTACGTATTAACTAAATATTAATATTACTTCATCTATAAAGTATTAAATAATAATTATTTTGGGTTATCCAAAAGTTTTTAAACTTTCAAACAAGAGACTTAATTAGTTTGACAAATGAATTGTCAACCAAAGTCAAAGACCATATCAACGTAAGAGGATAGCTGAATTCATTCGATTTCTACTGAGTGCGTCGCGGCGTGACGTCATCCCCTGAAAACTTTCAGCCATCCCATTTAAAACGTACATCGATGCACCTTATTTTTAAATTACGTTTTATTTTATTTATTTTTAAACTAAACGATATTTTAGATATTTAAAAGATCATTTTACCAGAGAGAAAATTAATCTCATCTGAAAATTGTAGAAGTAAATAAATAAGTAAATAGAAGGTAATATATTTAAATGCTATGATCGTTTTCTAAACATCTTTTAAATGAACTCATATTTAAGAAATTTGATATGTTAAAGTCGAAATTTATATACGCAGTAGTCAAAAAGTAACTTAACTTATTAATATGTACATTCCTGATAAGTTTACAAAAAGTTTTGATAACAGTTTCATAAAATAAATCAAGTTGTCAGTATAAGAAATATACTTGGTTGACCAATATTCATAAATTACAAAAGAATATATTTTTTAAATAGTTTTTCGTACAAAATAAATTTAAAATAAAATCGTTAAAACAACGCTGGGCTAACTTTATTAGCCATTAGTCATGCATTCGTTATTTTGGAGTAATGGTGCACCCGATATATTTCTGAGTTATAACTTGATTTATTTCATAAACAAAATAAAAAAGTTTCCTGACATACCAGTACCATAAAAGCACGTTCGTCCTACCACGTCCCAACTACCTTAGAAGCGAGTACGCTTGGCCGATGTTTTGAATTTTGTGCGCCCCTTTTTACAATTACACCATAACAGCCAGCTATGCTCGTTAGACCAATGGCTTTACCTTTAGAGGCAGGAGCGAGCAAAGTGAGTGCGCCTTTTTACACCCACATTATAAAAGCCAGCTATGCGCGTCCCACCAACGGGCTTACCAGTAGATAAAAGAGCGATCTAAGCGAGCGCGCCTTTTTCACACCTTTACTATAAGAATCAGCTAGGTTTGTGTCAACAACGGCCCCAACACTAGAGGAAGGAGCGAGTGAAGCGAGCGCGCCCGGCCGACGTTTCGAAATTCGAGTGCGCGAATTTCGAAACGTCGGCCGGGTACGCTCTTTTTACTACCTACACTATAAGAGCTACGCTCGTCTCACTAACGGTCTTTTCCATTAAATATATTTCAAAACAATCAGTTAGGGCAATAACGATTTCTGAATGTGACTACAGGGAGCTTAATGTGACCACTCAAAATGCATTTAACTATGTATGTGGCTATTTAATCAAAAAATTATTACATATCCACTCTTGCGAAATTTGCGTAAATTTCTCAGAAGAATGCAATTTACTTAACAATTCTAACTTGTTAACGCATTTTAAGAAGAAAAGGTGTTTGGCAATTTAAAATCTCCCAGCGAAAAATTTTTTTTTATATTTTCAAATTAAAAAAAATATTTATATCTCAATTTGATAGTTTGGCAACTAAGCCTGGAATTTCCGACGCATACCTTTTTGAGATGAGCAAAATAGAATTTGGTCATCCTTGCCAACAATTTACGAAAATGTAAACCATTAAGTTATTTATAAGACTCAGAATTTTTTATACTCTTAAATATGCAAAGAGAGATTGAAATCCTCGAAAAAGTCTCATTTATAAATATTATTGATTTTTTTTTCATCATATTTTTGCCTGCTTTATAAAAAAAAGTTATTTTTCTTTGTAGTTTTATTTCTTAACTATTCCAATGGTCCAACTAACGTTTTTTTGTAATCACAATAAATAAATTATTATCATGGTCCAACAAACTCGCACCTTAAACCGCTGCGTACATTCGTATCTGGTCTAGGTAATCTGTGCCATGAGTAAAGCACGTCACGCGGAGGACAGCGCCCTGCTTGTGACGTATAATCCATCACATCTGTTCATCTCTTGCTAAGCGATATTGTCGTTGTCCTTGTTTTTCATAATGAGAGATAAAACAACAGAGGCCACATACTTTGATTACTATACGAGGCAAGAGAGAGGTCCGACACGCCCAACATAGGGCGCGGCAATTATAAACCCTGTGACACAGTTTACAGCTAAAGAATCAGATCGCTCACTCTACGTCGGCACTTTTGATCTCAATGTTTCAGTTTATACACTGTGCAACTCGGATAATACAATATATGACAACCGCCTATAATAAAACAGCAGTCTTCTGCGTATCCTGAATTTGTATCCCTGGAGTGGATGTTATTTTGGAACTTTCAACTGGTCCGAGTGAGCTAACTGATTCTTTAGCAATAAACTGTGACTTCAAAAAGAAATATTCACTGACACTGACAGCAGCAAGCTAAATATCAGGTGCGTTTTAATCATCCGCTTCTGCTTCCGGAATTTTCGGTTCAGTCGTTTTAACCTGTCAGATTAAAACAAGAAAACCGACAATTCCGAAGCAAAAGCGGATGATTAAAACGCACCTATTAAAAATATTGCGCCAAGATGTAGGCAACACGTAATAAGGGTTCAAAATGGCGGAGTTTTCTATCTCCTTTTAAAAGGCACTCAGAAAGCTGCGCAGTGCGACCATTCTCCGTATAGTAAAAGAAAATCAAAATATGTGACAGAGGCACACATTTACTGCGCCCATCTTCCACTTAATTTCGGAATTCTTGAAACGTCGTTCAACGCCCGGTCGTCCAGTGTCGTGCCAACGCGGTTTGCGCTGAATATTAGATAAAATAATAATAGGCATTGAGGAAAATATAAAATATGTAAGGTATTTTTTTTTTGGTTTATTATACTAGGGCACGTGCCCAAGTGCCCTTACGGGCAAACCGCCACTGGTCTTTTCGCATCTTATTGACTTCACCCGCTGTTTTCTGTAGTGGTTAAGACGTGAGTGGGATCAACGTAACTTGTTCTTACGATGTAGGTGGGAAAATGGAGCGCTCGATCGACGTTTCGAAATTCGCGCGCGCCAATTTCGAATCGATTGCCGAGCGTGTTCGTTCTTTTCTGTAGCGATTAGGACGTAGTCGGGACAAGCGTAGCGTGCTCTATGGTGTAAATGTTAAAAAGACGAGCGTGAATTTCAAAAGGTTGGCCAAGCGCGTTCTCTTCCAAGGTAGTTGGGATGTAGAATGACGAGCGCAATTTTTGTGTCAGATAATTTTTTATTTTTTGAATTCTAATAGATTTACAAAAAACGGTTTGAATAAAATTTTTATGAAATAAATCAAGTTATATCGGTATAAGTCAGTTAGAAATTCACTAGACCCACTATTACCCCAAAATAACGGATATAAGGATATTTTTTTAATAGTAGCTAATAAAGTTAGCACAATGCAGTTTTTATGATTTTATTTTAAGTTTAATACAGTACGGAAAAATATATTCTTGTTTAATTTTGGAATAATGGCCAACCCAGTACATCTCCTATAACTTATAGTGAATAACTAGAATAATTTTATTAAACTTTTTTGTAAACCTATCATAAATTTAATTTTAGTAAGTTGCACTAACTTTTTTACACTTTGTATATAATTTTCGACTTTTAACTATCTTATAACTAGCATGTCAAATATCTCAAATATGTAATATTTGGGAAATATTTTTTAAATAACATGGCGGCAGTATTCAATATTTATTACCTATTTTAATTATTTCTATAATTTTGGGATGTTTGCAATTTTTTCTCTGGTTGTATCGATGTATGTTTTAAATGAGTTCCGGCTGAACCGTTGAAAGCATCACCGTCACGGCTGACTCAACAGAAATTGAACGAATTCAGCTATCCTCTTAAATTGTTAAAGGCGTTGGTTGACATTGCATAATAAATTTAATATTTAAAAAATTTAGGGGGTGGGTGGCTCAGTGGTAGAGTCTTTGCCTGCGGATCCATGGGTCCCAGGTTCCAATCCCACCGTTGACCGAGATTTTTTATTTAATTTAATTATTTAAAATTAATTCTGATGCCTTGGTAGGATTCCCCACTCGATCATTCACTGTTGAGTTCTAATTAACAGTACTGTTCCTGAAGTGGTGCTTAGAAACAGTAACAAAGCCTACACAGAACACACATGATTGAGAATTTAAACACAATTTTGAGACTGGCATATTAGGTATATACACCTAGGCCATAAATTGAAAAAAATATATATTTCAAAAAAAGTTAAAAAAACTTTTGGATACACAAAGTAATTAAGTTTAAAAGTTTTTGAAAAGGTCTTTAGAAATGATGTAATATTAATATTTAGTCAATCAAAATGAATGTATAAATCGTTGGATATGGCTGGAAATTAAAAATAAAACAGTTTTTAGGAAGCGAAACGAAGTAAATTAATAATTTTTTCAAACTATATGAGATTCCGTTTTATTTTTTGTTCTTACCTGCCCAAACCGTATATAAGGGTAATGCCATTGGCATAACGAAACCTTCATTGTAATCTGTGTGCTCTCCTATTAAATTGACTCTACCAGGTGCATATGAAAAAACTTTGGCTTCCTCTGAAAACTTCTTGCGATATAAATCTTTTGCTTTTTTTACTAATGTCCTTACTGTACTTAGTTTTTCTGCCATGTTTGATGGAAACTAGACAACTTATTTTATATGAAGGATGAATTAAAATTTTGAATTTATTGACCAAAAGATACAAGATGAATATGATTTTGACGTATTGGAATCTGTCTTTTATATCATATTTGTCATAATTATAAAGACTAGAGAGAAGGCGAATCGAGAATAGACAAATTTCATATTTCCGTGCTTCTTTTAATAAAGTTTGCAACATTGACTGTAGGTGGCGGGTCGAACGTTAGTGACATTAATTTTCTTTTACGTCATTGTAAAATAATGTCTTTTTTAAAAATTGGTGAAAATAATCAAAATAATGTGAAAAAACTACAAGTAACATGAGTGACCAAAAACATCAAAACAAGATTTACTTCGTTCCAGGTTATAAAACAGGAGAATAGTATTTTTAAAGCTCCTAGTGTAAGTAAACTAATTTATTTCTTAATTAAATATTTATTGTAAACTAGCCGTATTTTAAAGAGTATATTTTAATTTATAACAAATTTTTATATTATAAAATTTTACACATTACATTTAACTTAACTAGAAAATAAAATTTGTATTTTATTGTTATAGTTATTATTTTTTTGTTGGACCCCAGTTTTGTTATCGTAATGTTGCTATAGGATCCTAAACGTTTAAGACAGTGTCAGGCTGATAAAGCACTTTCTAGAGATGTTGCTGTTTGCGAGCTACACTTTTAATAAATATTAGATATTTCCAAATAACATTTTTACTGATGGTACTGTTAGCAGAATAAAAAGTGGATGGCCAAAATTAAAGGATGAGACAATACCTTGTATATTCCCGAATCTACAATAAAAAATATTTTAACTCTTTTATTTAGCCATTACAACTATATTTAGTTATGATTAAAAAAAAATTGTACTTCACCATTTAACAAACCATTTTGAATTTGGATATACCTAATTAGCATTTTATATAGATAAAATTAAATAATTTGTCACTTAAAATATGCAAGACAATTAGAAATAATTACAACAATATTTTCTGTGCTTTATTTTGCAATAAACAAGTTTATTATTTTTACATAATTATATAAAATTCCCATAAGAAGCCATGTATTTTTAACATCCCTAGCAACACCAGCGCCTTTGCGGTAAAGGCTTAATTATCGTCTTCGTTTTTTAGGACCGTTTTTCGGATATGCCCACATACTTTACAAAATCAAAGTATGTGGATATGCCACATACTTTAATTACTATACGGTGCAAGAGAGAGGTCCGACATATAGGGCGCGGCCATTTTGATTCCTATGCCACAGTTTATAGCTAAAGAATCAGAGCATAAATGTTACGCTCCGTACATTTCGGAAGCTTGGAGACGGGTCGCGAGACACTTTCAGGATAACCATTCGAGGGAACGATCAGCGTTGCCAGACCTACTGTTTTTACGCAGATCCACTGTTTTTGTCTCTAACAAATTTTGTTCTTAATTTATTAAGTATGCCTCATTCTTCAACAAATGGTTAAAGAATATTTTCTCTGGTAAATTTTCTGCAGTAAAAGCAGCGTAATAAGCAGCCACTATTGTAGGTTTGTTTTCATTTAAACTGCAGCAAAGAAGTTTCCTGACGATAAGTATATATTAAAAATGTTATTGTTTGTTTTTATTTTTTGTTTACTTTCTAATTCTGCGGTTTTTTTTTTCATCCATACTGTTCCAAAATCTGGCAACACTGCCTAGATCGAAAGAAATTTCCAACCTAATCACCTCCAAAAAAAAGCGATGCCTGAGGACAGTGACTTCGAGTGCGACATGCAGCAAACGCTTTGCCCCGAGGCAGATTCAGAAGTGTCGTCAAGAAGTGTCGCCTTGAAGACACCTCTCGTGTCGCGCCGTGCGAAATGTGTTTCATACAGTATGTCGCTAATGTATGGAATAAATTCATTATTTCTAAAATAATCGACTTTTGAAAAAATCCAAAAACAGGTCAATTTTAATTTTTGAATCGTCATCACATGATGAAGATGTAACGAACATTACGTCACCAGTATTACCGTGGTGACGTAATCGGCAATTTTTTTAAATGCAACCATGTGTCTCAAAACACCTCATTGGAAAGGTCTTCTAATCGTCTTTACAACGATGTAATTATTTGAATATTTATTTCTACAGGGTCGACCAAAACTGTTTATTTACTAAAATACATAAAACTGTTTAGTAAAAAACAATTAAATTATATTAAATGTTCAAACTGATGACCTTCAGCAATAATGCAATGAGACAGCCGAGCAGTAAATTCGTCTCTAACGTTTACGAGAACTTCAGGCGTTATTTGTGCAATCTCCGTTCTGATGCGATCCTTCAACTCTTTTATATCATTTGGGCGACTTTGATAAACTTTGATCTTCAAGTATCCCCATAAAAAAAAGTCTAAGGGTGTCAAATCTGGCGACCTTGGTGGCCATTCGATCGTTCCTTTTCTTCCTATCCACCTATCTGGAAAAACAGCATTTAAGTAGGTTCGTACATCAAAGGCGTAATGTGGGGGTGCCCCATCCTGTTGAAACCACAAATCACATCTATTTGGAAATAGTTGATTTAATTGTGGTAATAGATAATCCTGAAGAAATTGAAGATATCGAGGACCGGTCAAGTTTCCTTCAAAAAAATATGGCCCTATTATTTGATTATTTATAATGCCGGCCCAAACATTCACCTTTTCAGGATATTGTGTCGTATACTCCTGCATCCAATGGGGATTTTCACTTGCCCAGTATCGATATGTCTGGCGGTTTACATGGCCGTTGAGCATAAAAGTTGCTTCATCCGAAAAAAGTATATTTTTTATGAAATTACGATCTTTGTTAGATCGTTCCATAATTGTTTCACAGAATTCAATTCTCCTATCAAAGTCATCTTCTAACAGCTCTTGGACCAAATGTACCTTATACGCATGCCACTTCTCCTTTTTCAGTACTCTAGCAACAGTAGAATGGTGTAAATTATTATCCAGCGCAACTTGTCTCGTGCTGGTGTGGGGTCTTTCTTGAAACTCTAGTAAAACGTTAACTTTTTTGTCTTCGGAAATTGACTTTCTACCACTTTTGGGGAGATTGATTGAGAAATGGGTTCACGATTGGGGTATTTAGCATTAAATAAATTGCCAACTTCTCTCTGTGTCCTTACTCTATCTCCATAGCCAATCATCATTATTATTTCGATTCATTCAGTTTCTGCAAGCTTCATTACTAAATTATGCTAATTTAAAGATTTTAACTATTGAACACTTGACTGATACACATCAATTAGTGTTAAATTAGAATTTAGTACTATTATCAGTAACATATCCAAAATACAGAAATATTTTTTGGGTACACTACGATGTTTTATTTCCAGTGGCGGTCCTTACAATAACTTAGTTCAGTGAATCAGAATTTATGATTAAGATTTTAGTAAATAAACAGTTTTGGTCGACCCTGTAGAAATAAATATTCAAATAATTACATCGTTGTAAAGACGATTAGAAGACCTTTCCAATGAGGTGTTTTGAGACACATGGTTGCATTTAAAAAAATTGCCGATTACGTCACCACGGTAATATTGGTGACGTAATGTTCGTTACATCATGTGATGACGATTCAAAAATTAAAATTGACCTGTTTTTGGATTTTTTTCAAAAGTCGATTATTTTAGAAATAATGAATTTATTCCATACATTAGCGACATACTGTATAATTGTATGTATTTTAGACGTGGAGAGACACTTCTCGGTCGCGTCGGCGGTCGTCTGTCGCACCTACCGAAATGGTACCTGTAGGATTTTTTTTTAAATGTTTATTTTAACGTCCATAATATGAGTATACTTTTTCGGCCAATGTTGAAATTTGGTAAGACAATTTTCAATTGAATGTATACTTGTATACGCCCAATCACTGTAAACTGAAACGTTCAATTTATTTTAAACATTTATTATTTTTTCGTAAATAAGGTACTATGTTTCTCTTAATGAAAAGCAGTGTGTTAGGACACATCAGATATAAATGAGAAAACAATACCGATCAATTAGTCTGACATCGTTTTCCATGAAGACATTGAAAAGGCTATGCGAAAGGTACATAAGGGATGCAGGGATTACAACAACACCACTATACCCAAACCAACATGCATACACCGCAGGTAGATCTACTGATTTAGCACATCATCTAGATGCTGGCCGGATAGAGAGATCTCTGGACAATAAGGAGTCATCTTGGGTGTTTTCATAGACATGGAAGGTGCTTTAGATAAAACCATCTTCCCCAAGATAATACACTCACTAACCAACAGGAATAATGTTCCACAGATGGTTAGTGGGTGGATACATAACATGTTCTCAAAACGAGCAGTAAACATAAGTGTAGAAGATGTGAATATAAGAGGCTTAGTTGCGGGGGGATGTCCACAGGGAGGGGTGCTATCACCTCTACTGTGGAACATTCTCCTCAACACCCTCCTCAGCCGCCTCAATAATGACAGTCACTACACAATAGCACATGCAAATGACTTGGTCATTCTGCAATCAGGAAATTTTAAGAACATACTCATCGATACAGATAGCAAACAAGCACTACTTACCCTGAACAGACCATGAATTTACTCAAGGTTAGTACTAGGATGTTACGAAGCTTTGGCCGAAGTATCCATCAACACTTTAAGATGCATCAAAGGTCACGCCACATCGAAAGGTACCTGTCTTGGCCAAGAAAGCAGCCAACCAAATACTTTTTGGACCTGTCACTTCTATTCGCCTGATAAAATCGGTAGTAACAGACTTAATTAAAGAACATTCTTTTGTGAAATTCAAGAAAAGATGGGATGAAACAAGAAACTGCAGAGTTTTCAAGAAGCTTTTAAGTTATCCTGACAATACTGCGTCAAACAAATACTTGACTATGACTAGACAGAATCTGAGCCTAGTCACAGGCATTCTGACTGGTCATTGTCAAGTACGAAAGCATCTCCATATCATGGGGCTGTCAGAATCCGCCCTCTACAGAGGGTGGGAACAAGAAGATGATACCATCGAGCATATCCTCATTTATTTGGAGATTTGTGTTCGGCGAGTATCGGCTAACACTGGCCGATATAAAAGTAGTACCTCTTGGCGACGTTGTCAACTACATTAAATCTGTAGGCTGGCTCACGAGTTAG